CCGGGCGTGGTGGTAGGTGCCTGTAGTCCCAGCTACTCGGGAGGCTGAGGCAGGAGAATCACTTGAACCCGGGAGGTGGAGGTTGCAGTGAGCCGAGATCATGCCACTTTACTCCAGCCTGGGCAACAGAGTGAGACTCCGTATCAAAAAGAAATAAAGAAAGAAAGGATTTAAAGAAAGAAAGAATGGGTTTACCTACCTATTGAAAGAAAATAGTTTTCACGTTAACAATGCAAAATCCAACACTGTGCTGTATAAAAGAACTGCATCTAAGAAGAGTTTCAGGAAGCCTAAATAAATGACTAAGAGATGTACCAGAATTTATTCCTAAATGTAAGCAGGGGTTGCAGTTGTAATTATCCATCAAAGTAGAATTCTGACTAAAAAGCATTAAAAGAGAAAGAAATTTTAGCCACAATTTTTATAAAAAAGATAATGACATTGTATACAAGGAGAAATAGAAGCACACTATAATAGGAGGACTAACAAATCCCTCAGATCTAGAAAGATCAAGTGAACAATAAATTAGGATACAGAAGACGTAAACAACATAGTAGATTTATTTATTTAAGTAGATTTAATAATATTGAACTCTGAACCTTAACAATAGAGAACAAACTTTTTTAAAAAAATGCATAAAGGGCTGGGTGCGGTGGCTCACGCCTGTAATCTCAGCACTTTGGGAGGCCGAGGCGGGCAGATCATGAGGTCAGGAGTTCGAGACCAGCCTGGCCAACATGGTGAAACTCCATCTCTACTAAAAATACACAAAATTAGCTGAGGATGGTGGTGGACGCCTGTAATCCCAGCTGCTCAGGAGGCTGAGGCAGAACTGCTTGAACCCAGGAGGCAAAGGCTGCAGTGAGCCGAAATCGTGCCACTGGACTCCAACCTGGGCGACAGAGTGAGACTCCGTATTCAAAAAAAAAAAAAAGAAAAAAAATGCATAAAGCATTCACAAAAATGTGGCACATTCACATCCTAAGCTACAAAGAAAATCTCAGTATATCCAAAGTGAAGAAACAATAATTCAAATAGTATTCTCTGGCCAAAATGTAATACAATTAGACAAATCAAACATTAAAACCAAAAGGCCTCTTCCAAAGGGAATTATATTTGCACACACTCACACTCACTCTCCCATACATTTCCCCTAAAGGAAATTTCAGAACGTGTTAAACCACTCCTGGGTCAAGGGGGAAATGCAAAATAAATTGCAGGGATTTGTTTTTGTTTTTGTTTTTCTGACAATGCAAGCAGCTGGGACTACAGATGTGCACCACCACGCCCAGCTAATTTTTGTATTTTTAGTAGAGACGGGGTTTCACCAGGTAGGCCAGGATGGTCTCCATCTCTTAACCTCGTGATCCGCCTGCCTCGGCCTCCCAAAATGCTGGGCCTGGCCTAGTGTGCTTTTTTGTTTGTTTTTCATTGCAAAAAGAAAAAGGGGCCAGGCACGGTGGCTCACACCTGTAATCCCAGCACTTTGGGAAGCCAAGGCAGATGGATCACATGAAGTCAGGAGTTTGAGACCAGCCTGACCAACATGGAGAAACCTCGTCTCTACTAAAAATACAAAAAATTAGCTGGGCATAGTGGCGCACGCCTGTAATCCCAGCTACTCGGGAGGCTGAGGCAGGAGAATCACTTGAACCCGGGAGGCGAAGGTTGCAGTGAGCCGAGATCGAGCCACTGCACTCCAGATGGGCGACAGCAAGACCATCTCAAAAAAAAAAAAAAAAAAAAAAAATATATATATATATATATATATATATATGAAAAAGGAAGCTGAGCTACAGATTAAACAAACATTTCACAGAGAAGGAAATACCAACAGCCAGCTGTGGTGCTCATGCCTGTAATCCCAGCACTTCAGGAGGATCACTTGAGGCCAGAACTTCTAGGCCAGCTGGGCAACATAAATGAGACCTCATCACTACTAAAAATCAAGTGATTACCTTTAGGGAGAGAGAAGGGGTAATATGGAAGGTGTGGGGATAGATGATAAACTTATTTAAATATGCCTGGTTTTATAGCTTTTATTTTGAAACCCATGTATTTTACATAGTTATAAAACAAAATTAAATTTAAAAAAATTCTAAAATAAATACATAAATTCTCTTCATTTTTAAAACAAAAAGTTTTTTAAAGAAGAGACCCTTGGCTATAGTAGAAAAGCTATATAAACAATACCTGTACTTTCTCTCAACTTGACACAGATCATATTGTTTTCTTTCTTGAGATTAAGTCTCCCTCTAGTGGAGATTAGTTTTACAACTAGTCCCCAATACCCAGCACCACAAAGGAAAAAATCCTTTGCCTATTTCCTCCTGCTGCGGTAAAATTATATATTTTAGGTATCAGAGTCTTGAGAAGAAGGACGTGGTAGAAGATACTGAGCAATGGGATAGTAAAGAGTTGGGGACAGAGTTAAGTTTTATAAGGAATTAGAGATATGAGAAGCTCTAGGAGCCAAGATTTGGGTTATTCAACTCAGAATGGGGAAGGAACCTCAGCTTCATGATGGTAAAAAATTCCACCACCTCTGCCCAGAAAAAGGTGATTCACATCCTGTTATCACTGTGTACTCAGGGAAATAGCTCCCCACAAGGCATTTCATTAGGGAGAAACTATGGTGAGGAACAGTGATGAGCAGGGCATGAAGAGTGATCGTCTTAAGCCAGATATGATGTCCTGAGGGTGAACTCCAGGACCTCCTGTCCCTCAGGATGATCCCACAGTCTCGCTGACCACTGAGACCAGATGCATAAAAGCTTTGCCTTCCCAGAGACTGGTCAGGGGAAAAGGTACTGGCACAGCCTCTTCAGTTCCTGGCACGGAGGGGCAGAGACTAGCCCACATTGAAAGTGGCCCCTTGGGGGATGATGGGAGGATCCTTGTGTCCTGGGCTACCCTAGGTCTCATCTGATCTTGCATAGTGAAAGCTACTCATGGGAGAACTCCCTTAGCAGGGAAGCCGTTAGAGTGAAATCTTTCCTAATATTGACTCCGGTTTGTGGAAGTATATGCCATTCTTCTCCATTCTCTGTAGCACTGTGGTCTTACCCTCTGCAGAGAATGTTTGTTGGTTGCCACCTCAGCATATATCTTCCACCATCTTTACAATTTTTGATAAGAACACAAAAAGAAATGAAGACTAAAAATGGCCCAGTTTCCTAAGATCGTTTTCTGGTCCTATAAAATCTAATTCCTTAATGCAGCTCTGTGGTCCTGCTCTTTTGCATATCTAGCTTGAGAATGCTGTCCAGGAAGGGACTCATTTGAAGAATTATTTCTGCCAATTCCCACATCTTTCTTTCTCCTGCCTTCACTTCCTTCTTTAAGAGGTGAATTTCCAGACACATTAAAATTCTGGAGGAAAAAAGTGGGCAAATTAGGTGTGGTGACCCTTCCTGGATGCAAAATGTAGCGTAATTCTCTATGAATCCATCAACAAAGAAGATAGGCCATTGAGGAAGATATCTCTCTCCCCAAACATATTGGTTGCTAAAGGCCAGCCCCCAGACCATAATTCCTAAAGTAACAAAAGGTAATGTGAACCTTATATAATGGAATGTTATTCAGCCTTGAAAAGGCAGGAAATTCTGATACATGGCAGAACATGGATGAAACTTGAGGACATTATGCTCAGTGAAATACGCTAGTCATGAAAGGACAAATGCTGTATGATTCCACTGATATGAGGTACTTTGAGTAGCCAAAATCATAGAACAGAAATTAGAAGAGTGGCTGCCAGGAGCTGAGGGGAGGGGTGATCAGGAGTTATTGCTTAATGAGTACAGAATTACAAAAGAGTTCTGGAAATGGATAATGGTGATGGTTGCAAAACAATATGAATGTATTTAATACCACTGAGCTGTACACTCACAAATGTTTAGGAAGATAAATTTTATGTTATGTAATGTTACCACAATAAAATAAATTGGGAAAAAAAAAGCAATATGACACTTACTGAGGACTGCCAAGGAGTAATGAAAGGAGATACCAGTGACTGATGCCAGGATGAGATCTTGTGTCTCTTTTTTTTTTTTTTTTTTTTTTTGAGACAGAGTTTTGCTCTGTTGCCCAGGCTGGAGTACAGTGCCACAATCTCAGGTCACTGCAACCTCTGCCTCCTGGGTTCAAGCAATTCTTATGCCTCAACCTGCCGAGTAGCTGAGATTACAGGTGTGCACTACCATGCCCAGCTAATTTTTGTATTTTAGTAGAGATGGGGGTTTCACCACATTGGCCAGGCTGGTCTCGAACTCCTCACCTCAAGTGATCTGCCCTCCTCGACCTCCCAGACTACTCCTAAATTTTACCCTCTCCCTTGTCTTTTGTCAGAAGTCTTGCCTGGAGTAATTTCCTAAAAAGTCTAGATCAAATTAAAAAACTAAAAAAGAAGCTAGACTACAGCCTATCTAGATCAGTGTTATTAGTTGCATCATCATTATATAAGTGATTAAATTAAAATGTAACCAAAAATGCTTTAACTTATTTTTGCAACAACCAAATGTAAAATTAGAATAATAATAGCATTTTGCATGTGAAAAAACTGAAGCTTAGGAAAGTTAAATAATTTCTCCAAGAATACACAGTAAGTTGTAGAACCAGTTACCAAACTCAGGTAGTCTGGCAAACCCCCACACCAGCCTGCTCCCAAAAGCCCAGACCCTAAAATCTGAAATCTCTAGCCATCATCTAATTTGATTGCTTAAACAAATTGAATAAATTTATTTCCTATGGGAATGCTCAGATGTTTAATTTCCTTTTTTTTTTTTTTTGAGATGGAGTTTTGCTCTTGTTACCCAGGCTGGAGTGCAATGGCGCAATCTTGGCTCACTGCAACCTCCACCTTCCAGGTTTAAGCGATTCTCCTGCCTCAGCCTCCCTAGTAGCTGGGATTACAGGCATGCACCACGACACCCAGCTAATTTTGTATTTTTAGTAGAGATGGGGTTTCTCCATGTTGGTCAGGCTGGTCTCGAACTCCTGACCTCAGGTGATCCACCCACCTCAGCCTCCCAAAGTAATGGGATTACAGGCATGAGCCACCGCGCCCAGCCTGTTTAATTTCCTAATGTTTACTGAGACTTTTCAAGAGTGGGAGAGGGATATAATATACAGCATTCCTCAGTTTATTTAGCCACTGAATTTATTTTTTGTAAGCATCTCAAGGAACTTGAGCCCAAATTTTGCAAAACTGCATGTAATATACAATATTGCTTTTGTTCACCTTTTCCAGGTACTTTAAGAAAATATTTATTTTATCTCATTTAGAAAAATTTTTAAATTAAGATATTGAGAACTTGATTTGCCCAAGGTCATAATCAGTTAATACTGGAGTCAGAATTAGAATCTAGGTCTGGCCACAATTTCAGGTGTCTTCTTTTAAAGTTATTTATTTTTAAACACTTTTTTTTTTTTTTTGATACAGGATCTCACTCTGTCACCCAGGTTGGACTGCAGTGGCATGATCGAAGCTCACTATAGCCTTGACCTCCCCAGGCTCAGGTGCTCCTCCAATCTCGGCCTCCTGAGCAGCTAGGCCTACAGGCTCACACCACCATGCCTGGTTAATTTTTGTATTTTTTATAGAGACAGGGTTTCACCATGTTGCCCAGACTTGTCTCGAACTCTGGGCTCAAATGATCTGCTTGACTCAGCCTCCCAAAGTGCTGGGATTACAGGCATGAGCCACCACTCCCAGCCTGAAGTTATTTTTTTAATTATAGAAGGAATACTAGCAGATTTCATTCTAGCAAATCACACAATACCAAGCAGTTACCTAGGTGAATTAAGTAAACCCCATAACAGTAAGTCTTTGTTATCTATTTCTCTATAACCACTTCAAAATTTAATGGCTGTGGCAGGTTGTATTTTTCTTTCTTTTTCTTTTCTTTTTTTTTTTTTTTTTGAGAGGGAGTTTCCCTCTTGTTGCCCAGGCTGAAGTGCAATGGCGCAATCTTGGCTCACTGCAACCTCCACCTCCTGGGTTCAAGCGATTCTCCTGCCTCAGCCTCCCAAGTAGCTAGGAGCCACGTTAGCTGCACCACCACACCCAGCTAATTTTGTATTTTTAGTAGAGATGGGGTTTCACCATGCTGGTCAGGCTGGTCTCGAACTCCCAACCTCAGGTGATCCGCTCGCCTCAACCTCCCAAAGTGCTGGGATTATAGGCGTGAGCCACGGTGCCCAGCCAGGTTGTACTTTTCAAGAGGGTTGTAACAAGATATTCCATACCACATGCTCTTCTTAAATGTGACACTCCTCCCATTAAGAGGTAGAGTCTATATTCCCTCCTCTTGAACTTGGGTGGGCCTGTAAGTAAGGTGGAAGTGAGGCAAGTTCAAAAAAGGTTATACATCTTCCACTTGATTGTCTTAGGAGTGACTCAGAATCCAGCCACCTTGGATATAAGGAAGCAGAGCAACCTCATGGAGAAGCCGCGTAGGTGTTCCTGCTGACAATCCTAGCCGAGATCCCAGTCAACAGCCAGCATAACTTCAGACGTATGTTGAAGTAAAATAAAATGGAGACCAGGCCTGAAGAATCTCTGAGCAGACAAAACCAGTTAGGCCTCATAATTGACCTCAACCTTGATTTACAAACACAAGGGAAACTTATGTTGAGCCATTTCTTGTAAATGCCTGTATTAAAGAAAAAAAACTTAAGCTCAACCAGTTGGAAATAGCCAAAAACTTACATAACTAGGGACTTTCCAACAAGGTGAATGAATGAATAAGGCAACTATATAATTGCAATCAATCAAATTATTTATTTTGTTTCCACATTTACTCCATAAATACTTGCCCCTGATGATTTGTCATGAGAAAAATTAAACTTCTTTCAGTTTGGTATTTCCCGATTCATTAACTGCTTCCTACTCAAATGAACTCTTAAAACTTTTTTTGTGCCTTAGTTTACCTTTTACATATGTGAATGAGCAATTCCAAATGATTCCAGCCCCAAGCTTTCAAGTCATCTCAGGCTTCCAAGTCTTCTCAGCTGAAGTCTCAGTGATTCTGAAGCAGAAACAAGTCATCCCCACTATACCCTTTTCAAATTCTTGACCCACAGAATCCATGACATAATAAACTGGTTGCTGTTTTATACCAGTAAGTTTGGAGTGGTTTGTTACACAGCAGTAGGTAATTGGAACACTCCCTTATCTTCCCCAAGGTAGCATCTTGGTGAAGGTGGAGCAACCAATGACCTAGAGGTAGTAGAAAAAGGAGGCAACCTCAGGTCTCTGTGGCTGAACTCTGGCACTCTAATGTTCTCAGATGTGTTGGGCTGGCCTTGTCCCTGGGTACTTTGTGCTGAACAAGGTGCAGCTTTTTTCTGCTGGGCCTTTTGGAGTATCAGCCTAACATGAACCTCTCAAGTCCATGGTCTCATACCATTCTATTTGCCTCTAGTTGCCAAGTCCCTGCCCAGTGGGCTTCCTTGTCTTATTCCCAGACTTCTACAAAAGACATTTATTCTTGTCTAGGTATCTTCCCTTGGAAGGAGATGGGAGTCAAATCTGTTCAAAATCCATTCCTCTCTCCATACCCCCAACTCCTGATAGGGCTGGGTGAAGTTCTCACCACCTACTCCTAAGGGTTTTATTTATTTATTTATTTATATATATATTTTTTGAGACAGAGTCTCGCACCCATGCTGGAGTACAGTGGTGTGATCTCGGCTCACTGCCAGCTCTGCCTCCCGGGTTCACACCATTCTCCTGCCTCAGCCTCCCGAATAGCTGGGACTACAGGCGCCCGCCACCATGCCTGGCTAATTTTTTATATTTTTAGTAGAGATGGGTTTTCACTGTGTTAGCCAGGATGGTCTCGATTTCCTGACCTCGTGATCTGCCCGCCTCGGCCTCCCAAAGTGCTGGGATTACAAGCGTGAGCCACCGCGACCGGCCTCCTAAGGGTTTTAAAATCCATTCCTGGCCGGGAAATACATTCTTTGTAGGACTGGTTTCAAGTGGTGCACCAGTGTAAAAAGGGATTTGCGGGCAATCAGTATAAATTATTTGGGTTTGGATCTAGCTCCGTCACTTAATATAAGGGGATCTCAGACATGTCTCTACAATTTTATTTCTTCTTCTGCAATATCTTGATAATGGTTACTTAATAAGATTATTAAAAGGATTAGATGACACTGTAAATTTACTTAAGTCTCATAGAAAGTAAATGTAAAGCAGTCCAGGCACGGTGACTCACGCCTTAATCCCAGCACTTTGGGAGGCCGAGGCGGGTGGATCACCTAAGGTTGGGAGTTCGAGACCAGCCTGACCAAATGGAGAAACCCCGCCCCCGTCTCTACTAAAAATACAAAATTAGCTGGGTGTGGTGGCACATGCCTGTAATCCTAGCTACTCGGGAGGCTGAGCCAGGAGAATCGCTTGAACCTGGGAGGCGGAAGTTGCAGTGAGCCGAGATCGCGCCATTGCACTCTAGGCTGGGCAACAAGAGCCAAACTCTGTCTCAAAAAAAAAAAAAAAAAAAGTAAAAGTAAAGTAAAAGTTAGTTACGATTAGAAAATGCATATCAGCAAATTAAAGACTCCGAAAGCTATTTAATTAAAGGGAATTGCTTGATTCTGACGGATTCCAAATTTTCCTGCTTGATAAATTCCCAGAACCCTTTCAAACGAAACACCAATGATTAGGATTAGGGTGGAGACGGAGGAGCTGGAGTGAACAGGACTCGGCTGGAACACGTCCACGCACGAGTATGAGGTGAGGTGTTCACGTCAATGGGAACGCCACTCCCTTCGGGAGGACACGGCAGTCTTTTCGTCCTCCTGGGGCTGAACCCGGGACGTCTACACGAGGCTAACGGGACAGCTATTTCTCCGCTCCCTCGTCACAGCCCGCGCGTGCTCCGCTCCGCTTCCCTTCGACCTGCGTATTGCCAGTACCGTCTCCGTCTTGTCCAGCCCCCCCCGCTGTTGGGAACTGAGATCAGCCTTTCCCAGACTTCCGGTTTTGACTCACTAATGACGGGAAAGCTCCGGACCCTCTTGCGAGACGCGGGGAGGGAAGGGGGGCGGGGCGCGGCGAGAGTAGGGGCCGGGCTCACGATGACGGAGAACAGAAGGGCGGGGAGGGGCGGGGCGAGAGGAGATGTGCGACGGGAGGACGGGCGGGGCTCACGAGTGACGGAAGCAGAAGGGCGGGGCGGGACGAGAGGAGGGGAGGGACGGGCGGAAGGGACGGAAGAGAGGAGGGGCGGGACGAGAGGAGGGGCGGGGCTCACGAGTGACGGAAGCAGAAGGGCGGGGCGCAAGAGCGACTGAGAGCACTACGCGGGTGAGAGGAGGGGCGGGGCGTGGGAGTGACGGGTGTGGGAGTGAGGGGGCGTGGGAGTGACGGGGCGTGGCAGTGACTGGGCACCGAGAGGCCCGAGTCAGAGGCGAGGCGAGGCGTGAGACTGACTGAGGGAGGAGGGCCGGGAGGGGCTGGAGCGCCCCTGGGTGTCCTTGAGCTTGCGGGAAATTCGGGTCACTTTTTCCCCAGGCCTCAGGCCTGCGGCGTCGAATTTGGGGTCTTCGCTAGGCCTGCGAGGTTGGCGGACGTTCAGGGTCGGTGCCCAGGAGATGGGCTGCCTTCCGTGGGGTTGGGCAAGGGACTCTGCCTGGCAGCGCACCTGAGCGGGGGCCGGAGCACAAGGCTGGATGCGGGGCACCTGGGCGTGATTCGCGGCGGCAAGTCTCTTTACCATCCCTACCCTGAGTTCCCCCATTCTCTTTCCCGGAAGCAACCACTGTTACAGTTTTTGCGTGACCTTCCTAGATGATCTCCAGTCGTCCCTTGGTATCCGCAGGCAGATTAGCTCCAGGACAGCACCCCATACTAAAATCTGCGATGCTCAAGTCCCTCCTATAAAATGGCATAGTATTTACATACAACTACGCACATCCTCCCACACACTTTAAATCAGCTATGGATTACTTGTAATACCTAATACAATGTAGTTATACTGTATTGTTTGTATTTGCATTATTTTTATTGTTATTTTCCCTAATATTTTGGGAATCCGCTGATGTGGGAGGCCAACTAGATCTATACATGTATCTGTATTAATATGCATAAATATATTTCCTCTATTTTCCCCTTACTCAAAAACCCCACACTATACACACTACTCTTCACCTGAGTCTTTTCAGTTAGCAGTAAGTCTTGAACCTGTCCAAGAGCAGGATGACGTGCAAAATGAGTGATTTAAAACTCTTTCTACATCTGGGCTTTAAAGTACTTCCAGCTTTTTACTACTATTTTGGCAGAGGGCTCACCTATGGGAATTAAAAGATGCATTTCTAGCCTGGTCATATAATAAGACTTGTCTCTTCAAAATAAAATAAAATTAGCTGGGTGTGGTGGCAGCCTCCTGTGGTCACAGCTACTCAGGAGGCTGAGGTGGGAGAGTCGCTTGAGCCTGGAAAGTCGAGGCTGCAAGTTCAAGTGATTCTCCTGCCTCAGCCTCCCTAGTAGCTGGGATTGCAGCGTGCACCACCACGCCTGGCTAATTTTTGTATATTTAGTACAGACAGGGTTTCACCATGTTGGCCAGGCTCTTCTCAGACTCCTGACCTCAGGTGATCTGCCCGCCTCGGTCTCCCAAAGTGCTGGGATTACAGGCTTGAGCCACTGTGCCTGGCCCAAAGTGAGGAGTTTTTATGCAGCTGGAGAGTAAGGAGGAGGAGTTTCAGAGACTCGAGGGGGAAAGTCTGTGTTTCTTCAGTCTCAGATAATGTCTTGAACAACCAGACTTCCGGGCGTCAGCAGTTGAGCATAACATCCTTAAAGGCATTCATTCAAATCTTCTGCTTTTTTTTGTTTGAGACAGGATCTCACTCTGTCGCCCAGGCTGGACTGCAGTGACACGATCTCGGCTCACTGTAACCTTCGTCTCCCGGGTTCAAGCGATTCTCCCACCTCAGCCTCCTGAATAACTGGGACTACAGGCACATATCACCCAGCGAATTTTTGTTTTTTGTTTTTTTCTGGTAGAGATGAAGTTTCTCTATGTTGGCCAAGGTGGTCTCAAACTCCTGACCTCAAGTGATCTGCCCGCCTCTGCCTCCCAAAGTGCTGGGATTACAGGCATGATCCACCATGCCTGGTCCTTCTGCAATTTTTTTTTTCAAGACCCTGAAGTTATATTCTTCTGCTTGGCAAAGAAAACAGTACATCAGCAGTTTATAATTATATTGTAGAAGGAATATTGGGCAAAACACAAGTGCAAGCAAGCAAGGGCCTGTTCGGAATTTTCATCCTTTCAGTCACTAAAAATGCTGGTGTGGTAAAATCTCAAGGGGTCCGGTTTATAAAATGTACCTTAGAAATTCCATGGGAAGCCATAGTCTTTTTTTTTTTTTTTTTTTTTTTTGAGACGGAGTCTGGCTCTGTCGCCCGAGCTGGAGTGCAGTGGCCAGATCTCAGCTCACTGCAAGCTCCGCCTCCCGGGTTTACGCCATTCTCCTGCCTCAGCCTCCCGAGTAGCTGGGACTACAGGCGTCGCCACCTCGCCCGGCTGGTTTTTTGTATTTTTAGTAGAGACAGGGTTTCACCGTGTTAGCCAGGATGGTCTCGATCTCCTGACCTCGTGATCCGCCCGTCTCGACCTCCCAAAGTGCTGGGATTACAGGCTTGAGCCACCGCGCCCGGCCGGGAAGCCATAGTCTTGTTTCTTTTCATAAACAAGGCCTGTCTGTCTGCCCCTGGATTTCCCTCTTGTATCCTAGCAAAGATCAGACTTTGCTTTTTGTGTATATTTTTTGATATGGAGTCTCACTCTGTCACCCATGGATGAATGCAGTGCTGCTATCATAGCTCACAGCAGCTTCAAACTCCTGGGCTCAAGCGATCCTCCCATTTCATTCTCCCAAGTCTTTGGGACTACGGGTGTGTGCCAGTGCACCTGACTAGGGTCAGACTTTAGAAGATTCTGGCCCCACTGGATGGCACAGGCCCATCACTCTACTATTTCACTGTACTCTCTGTAAAGTCCTGAAATATTCTGACCAACAGGGGTGGACTCTTTTCAAGATCCATAGAGCTCTGAGGAATTTGTCCTGTCCTCTTCTTCCCCCACTGCCTCACATTGCTGGTA